ACCCTCCCAGCATCACCACTCTCATCATTGGTTCTAAGGGGTCTATCTATCCTGGATTCCCTGTGTTACCAGTTGTTATTTGTAGCAGTGTACATCCTCTGGTCTAGCTGGATTTGTAAGGTAGAAATGGGATCATGATAGTGTGTGTGTGTGGGGTGGGGGGGCATTAAAGAACTAGAGGAAAGTTGTGTGTTTCATCATTGCTATATTGCACCCTAACTGGCTCGACTCCCTGGCTGTGATCCTTCTGTAAGAGGATGTCCAGATGCCTACAGGTGGGCTTTGGGTTTCCACTCCACATTCTCCTTAATTCACATTGATATGATTTTTTGTTCTTTGATTCCTGGTACCTGATCCCATCGACAACTTGGAGTCACACACGCTGGTGTGCTCCTTTCATGTGGGCTTTGTTTCTTCTCAACTAAATGGCTGCTTGTTTATGTTCAAGCCTTCAAGACCCCAGAAGCTATATATTTGATAGCCGGGCACCATCAGCTTTCTTCACCACATTTGTTTATGCACCCACTTTGTCTTCAGTGATCTTGTCGGGAAGGTGAGCATCATGGAATGCCAGTTTAATAAAACAAAGTGTTCCTGCATTGAGGGAGTACTTGAGTAGAGGTCCAATGTCCATCTGCTATCTTACAATAAAGAAAATCTTGAAAGACAATCGTTATAAATTTTATTTACATTTTCTTTAAATGTATGTAATTATACCAATTACATATGATTCTTTCAATGTATACAATTTTAACATTTGTATTTCCTGATAGCAAAGAAATACAAGTTTTAAGTTAAAAAGTTTATGCCTTATATTCAATTAAATACAAAAATTACAATAGTTAACTTACACATTTTCAAACTTACTTTAAAATCTTACATATAAATTTTGAAAATTAAATACAAGTAAAAAACTTCTAAAAGAGCATATCCTCCAATATAATATAGATAAATAAAAGTGGTAAACTATGATTACAAATTAGTGTGAATATTGTTTTATTATGAGAGGTATTCTTTGTATATTTGCATAGTATAAGTCTACTTTGACCATTTATTTTAGAAGCTTTATAAAAATGTGCCACCTTATAAATCTGGGCATATTAAATACAATGTAAACCTTGATATCTAAGACTTATAATGAATGTAAATTGTTTCTGACTTCTTGATCAAATTATGCATTTATATAGATGGATGGTTTTTCTTTTCTCTAAATTAAGTGGCTCTAGATTAATATGTTTACAATTATTCTGTTTCCTCTCTTGCTTTCCATTAACCACTACAAATTTCTATTAAATTACTTATTTTTTCAAGAGAGTGTAAGAAATATTAAACTCTCCGTTAGCTTTGTTGCAGCCAGAAATGACAGGTAAAATACATTTGGATGGGTGGAAGGGATATTGCTCCTGAATTGAGGTAGATTATGTTTTTGAAGCTGTTGCTGATGAAAATCAAAGACTGCAGCCTTCTGTATGAATTCCAATTCAGTATAAAGAATACCAAAATCATCACACCTGGATCAAGAGGCAAGACCATGATAAACAGAGAAAAGATTTAAGTTGTCACAGATTTCAATTTACTATGATCCACAATCAATGATAATGGAAGCAGAAATCAAGAAATCTGCTGTACAATATAGCTTTAATATGTTGAAAAACAAAGGTGCCACTTGGAGAACCAAGGTTTGCCTGACCCAGGCCACAGTATTTGCAATCACTTCATATGCCTGGGTCAGTTGGACAATAAATAAGGAAGACAGAAGAATTGATATATGTGAATTATGATGTTGGCCAAGAATATTTACAGCACCATGTTAGACTATTAGAAGAACACACAAATCTATCTGGATAGACATATACCCAAAATGCTCCCAGCAAGGATGGCCAGAGTTTGTCTCACATACTTTAGGTATGTTATCAAGAGAAACCAATTCCTTGGAAAGGACTTCATACGTGATAAAGTAGAATCCACACAAAAGAAGACCATTCACTGGATGGGTTGACACAGTGGTTATAAAAATGGTTCCAAACATAACAACTGTAAGCATGGCTCAGGACTGGGAAGTGTTTTGTTCTGTCGTACTTACCGTTGCTGAGTCAAAACTGACGCTATTGCACCCAACAATGACCATGTGTATATTGCCCAGCCTGTGTTGTGATACCTGTTTTTTCGCTATGAATTTTCTACCCCTCAACAACGTGCTCTTTTAGGTACCCTCTATTTAGATTTCATATATTCTTGGTTTAAGGAAGCCTATCATCCTGGTTCCTGACCCAAACCCAACCCAACCCAACCAAAAACCCATGGATGGATTTAACCCAGTTAATTCTAACTCGTATGAACCCCATAAGACAGAGTAGAACTGCCCTTTAATGTTTCCCAAGTTGTAAATATGTACAGAAGCAGACCGCCACATCTTTCCTTCTAAGGGTGGCTGGCAAGTAGGAACCACGGGCCTTCCGGATAGTAGCTGAGTGTATAACCCCTGGGCTACTAAATTCCATGAAGTCATAGGAAATACTTC